TCCTAGAGGACAGGCAGTACGAGCCTGCTTTCCTGTCCGAGGCCGCTCCCCATCTCTGTTCCATGCTGCTAGTCCCTGAGGGTGACCCAGACGCCTTGGACATCCCGACCCCTCGCACCTATGCTGAGGCGACCTCGGGACCCTGGGCCTCTCAATGGATAGCTGCCATGGAGCAGGAGATGGCATCTTGGAGATCTACTGGTACTTACGTCAACGCAGTTCCCCCGCCTGGGGTGAACGTAGTCGATGGTCGGTGGCTCTTCAAGGTGAAGCGCCCCCCTGGAGAGCCGGTAGTCTTCAAGGCGCGTTACGTGGCTAGAGGCTTTAGTCAGCAAGAGGGGGTGGACTTCTTCCAGACCTTAGCCCCGAACCCAAAGATGACTACTCTTCAAGCGCTGCTACACGTAGCACCACAGCGCGACTACGAGCTCCACTCCCTCAACTACTCTACTGCATTTCTTCAGGGCAGCCTACACGAGCAGGTCTACCTCCACCGTCCATAGGGCTTCACTGGTACCTTCCCTCCTGGGACTCAGTGGCTTCTCAGGCGCCCGGTCTATGGCTTGCGCCAGGCTCCTCGTGAGTGGCACGAGACCTCTCGCTCTTCGTTAGCTGACCTGCAGTTCTTTCCGTCCTTTGCCGACCCCTCGCTCTTCGTTCGTGCTGGCCAGACTCCGTTCTACATCCTAGTCTACTTAGACGACCTGGTCTTCGCTACTGCAGACAGAAACGCACTGGCCTCTGTGAAGGCCGAACTGCTGAAGAGACACACCTGCACTGACCTAGGGGAACTGCGTCGCTACCTTGGCCTACAGATCTCCAGGGACAGAGTAGCGCGCACCATTACTCTCCCTAAGTCACACTTGGTATGCCAGGTCCTTTAGAGGTTCGGTCTTCAGTTCTCCTCTGCATAGCCCACACCTCTACCTGTAGACCACAGGCTCTCGGCTCCCGTTTCTGAGGAGTCGGTAGAGCCCAATGGCCCTTACGCAGAGCTGGTGGGTTGCCTCATGTACCTGATGACTTGCACTCGTCCTGATCTCGCATACCCTCTCAGCATCCTGGCTCGCTTTGTAGCCATTGGCAGACACCGACCATAGCACTGGTCGGCCGCAAAGAGGGTTTTGCGATGTCTAGCAAGTACATCGGGCATGGGGCTAGTGCTTGGAGGACGCAGGCCAGTGGTCCTTACTGGGCACACAGACGCTTCTTGGGCAGACGACGCTGAGACCCTCAGGTCGTCACAGGGCTGCTATTTCAGCCTTGGTTCGGGGGCCATCTCGTGGAGGTCGACTCGCTCTTCGTCTGTTGCTCAGTCTAGCTGTGAGGCTGAGATCTACGCTGGTGCCATGGCGGCACAGGAGCTCCGCTGCTGACTTTCTTGCTCACAGACTTAGGTGAGCGGCCTAGCTCTGCCCCAGTCCCGTACAACAGGGCCATGATTCTCCTGTGTCAGGAGCCTCGACTCGAGGGCAGAGCGAAGCATATCCAGCTGTGGTAGTTTCTCCTGCGCGAGCTACAGCAGCGTCGCCAGGCACGTGTAGTTCACTTAGCCTCCGGTCCCAACACAGCTGATATCTTTACGAAGGCGCTTGTGCCTAAAGATCATCAGCAGCACTGTGTACAGCTTAGTCTTGTTCTTGTAGCTACTCACTTGCTAGGGCCTTGATTGTATAGTCCTCACTATATATACCTGTCTAACTGGCCTTGTGGCTTTACTTCCAGTGGCTGCACTAGTAGTGCCGCCCTGGCTTACTCTTGTCTTGTTTGTACTCTTGCAGACTGGTCTTCGGACCCCTGCCTCAGTGGTTGGACTAGTAGTGCCACCCTGAGGTGTGTGCTTCTTGTTTAGCACTACCCCTTATCTAGCCTAGGGGGTGTGTCAACTTATACATATGTAGCATGTAGAAGTTATAGGCTAGTATCGGTGTGTGCTCCTAGTGAGTACAACCCAATTGCTCTATGTTGTCTGTTCTCCCAGTAGTAAATTCATTTCGGTATTCTAACATCCTGGTCAGGTGGGTGGGCAGGAAAATAGAACTCGGCCACTGGCGCAGCGACAACGCTAAGGAGCTCTATGTGACTATGTCACTATCGCACAAGACCAGGTCCTCAGATTGGTTTTAGGCGGGTGGGCACCAGAATTCAAAACGCACATCCGCCTCACCCACGGCAGCCAAAGTGGGTGAGGCGGACGTGCGTTTTGAATTCTGGTGCCCAGGCGTCATGCGATGGTTGGAGCAGTGGCCACCATGGCGCTCCAGGCCACTCGGGAATAAGCAGGGTCATCTCTGCACGCGTGCATTGTGTGTGTCGCAAGGTGGCTGGGATTAGGTTGGGAGGGTAAAGGCGAAGCCACGCTCGTGCTCCCAGCTGAATGAAAATGTGCCGAACTCTATGGCCACCGGGTGGGGAATCTTGGAGTACAACCGCTGCAGCTGAGCGTTGTGCACATTTGCAAAAAGATCAATGGAATGTGGAACCAGCTGGTGGTCAAGGAGCCGAAACCTAGGGGCTTGGAGGGAGTAATCATCATGGTCTTGGATCAATGAGAGCTCGTCAGCGTGCGTGTTCAGCTCTCTGGGAATCCATTCGATGGCCAACCGTGTTTGATGCTCGAGGCATAGATGAATGATTGCTTGACATAGCAGCGTGAGCGTCGGCTGGCGTGATCCCCTTTTGCGCATAATGATTACCACCCCCTGATTGTCCATGCGAACGAGCACTTGGTGCTTGAGGATGTGGGGGGTAAATGTTCAAAGTGCCCATAAGACACCTTCAAGCTTGAGTCGCGTGCTGGAGGTGGGCAAGAGCTCCTCGGGCATGTGGGCGCTGGCTTCAAGGGGCATCCTGGGTAGTTGTGTCAGGGTGGCGCCCCAACTGTGTGCGCGTGCATTAACGTGGATGACATCGTCATACTGGTGATTGAGGTGGAACGGGGTGGCATTAAAATGGTCGAACTAAGCCAGCCAAAACTGCAGTTCCTCCACCATTGCTAGAGACAGTTGTGTCCTGGCGTGCCAAGAAGTGGCATCGGCAATAAGTCAAAGGAGCACGTGGCTAAAGGCACGCTCCATGGCACCTAATGCAAGACTCGTAGAGGAGAGCATTCCAGTGGCTCGTGCGAGTGACCGGATGGAGACATGTCGTCCCTCTTGGCCTTGGGTGATGGGGGCTCGGAGTGTTGTAAAAAGTTGTTTGCGACGTTCGAGTCCGACGGAGAACGTGCCATTGGTAGCGTCGATCTCCAAGCCGAGGAAGGCTATATGACGCGAGGGGTTGAAATGCGATTTCTTTGCATTGATGACAAAGCTCGCCGCCCTCACGTCCCGTACGACGTTTGCACAAGTCGAACGCGCATGGAGATGGGAATTGCAAAGGAACAGCAAGTCATCGACGTACGGAACAACCCGTACGCCACTCGCCTGCCATCTCTTTGCTAATTGCTTGATCAACTGCGTGAAGACGAATGGGGCTGTGGCGAGCCCAAATGGGAGCGAGCGAAAGGAATAATAATGTCCTTCAACTAGAATCCCAGGAGCTTCCAACAAGAGGCGTGGATCTCGACATAGTGGTAGTCGGATTTCATGTCGATAGAGAACATCCAATCGCCTGGGCGAATGAGCTCGGCAACCCGGTTCAAGCCTTCAAACTTGAATTTTGGGATGTCGAGGTAGGTGTTGACTTTGTGCAAGTCGAGGATAAGGCGACACTTGTTACGCTGCTCGACCACGTTGAGTGGGTTGACACACAGTAGTCCATCCCTAATAGGGACCATGACGGTTGCACCCGTGGTGATGAGGTCGTGAATTGCCTCACTAGTAAAATACAGATATGTGCGGACTCTAGCGTGGTTGGATTCCTCGAATGTGTGCGGTACTGTGTCCTTCCATGGCAACCAGTACCCTTTCACGATGATGGATAAGATGAAGCTGCTATCGCACCATGAGCACCACCAGTGCAGGGCATGATGTAGCCGACTGTGCATGATTGTCAAGTCCTTGTCCGTGACGACGTACTCGTAGGGGTCATGTCCGTAGCCCTCCTTTTCCAATTTCTACAGAACCAAGGGTCGGATGATAGGGGTGACATGGGTATCGAAATTGAGGGGTACCGTCCAGTTTTCTCGGAGAGCGGATCACGTGTGGGGAGACATGGCTCAGATGGCATTCTGAAGTTTGGCCGAGTTGAAGATTGGCCATGTGACTCGCCACATAAGCGAAAGTTTGGCCAAACTTTGAGGTTTTGGTTGGCAAAAGTTGTGGTGGGTGAACTTTGGCCAACCCCTCCGTGAAAAACGAGGCGACCAGGCCGCGACATTTTGCGAACGGTCCCCCATCGCGCCAAATCAGATCGACATGTGATCCGCAAAATGATATGCGAGAGAGCACAATTTGGGTCTCAGAGGACTGCGACACCTGACAGCCAGCTTCTGGATCATTTTGGGAAAGTTGTCTAGCAAAAATTCCACCAAATTCCCACGAAAATGAAGAGTTAAAACCCGTGTACCAAGTAGTTCAACATCAGGTAGGCTGGTTGAGTAGAAAAAGGATTAGCTGTCGGGCAGTACTCCAAGAGATCTTTCAACCAAAGATAGGAAGCTCGAGGCTGTTGGCACGCGGGTTTTAAGACCATATCCTTCTGGTTGGGGTGTTGAGGCTTTGGTGAAGAAGAGTGGAGCATTCGCAGTTTGACGGCTGTTTGTGCACCGGGCAGGATGATGTTGCTTTTGTGGCTTGGTCGACGTCACATTCCCTTTGCGTGGCCAGCCAACTATGCAGAAACCAGGTTTTGCCCTTGGTCGCAGCTGTTCGTGGACCCCCATCCGTCGCACGAATTCTGGCCAACAAGGTGTGGTTGGCTAAAGTTCGAGCCGCACGGCTAAACATTGAAATGTGCAAGTTTGACGTGGCTATTCGGCTGGCCAAATTTTCAAGGTCGGCCAAACTTCAGAACACGGCCTCATATCCATGGCTTCTCTCTTCATTGTTCATGGCATCATGACCCCCGTCATGTACGCTCTCGTGTTATCCCGTTTTCTCTCTCTCTTTCTCTCTCTCTCTCTCTCTCTCTCTCTCTCTCTCTCTCTCTCTCTCTCTCTCTCTCTCTCTCTCTCTCTCTCTCCCTCTCTCTCTCTCTCTCTCTATATATCTCTCTCTCCCTATCTCTCTCACTCTCTCTCTCCCTCTCTCTCTCTCTCTTGCTCTCTCCCCCCCTCTCTCTCTCTCACTCTCTCTCTCTCCCCCCCCTCCTCTCCCTCTCCCTCTCTCTCTCTCTCACTCTCTCTCTCTCTCTCTCTCTTTCTATCTCCCTCTCTCTCTCTCTCTCTCTCTCTCTCTCTCTCTCTCTCTCTCTCTCTCTCTCTCTCTCTCTCTCTCTTTCTTTCTCTCTCCCCCCCTCCTCTCTCTCTCCCTCTCTCTCTCTCTCTCTCTCTCTCTCTCTCTCTCTCTCTCTCTCTCTCTCTCTCTCTCTCTCTCTCTCTCTCTCTCTCTATCTCTATCTCTCTCTCGTTATCTCTTTCTTTTGCTCTTGTATGAGCCGTCATGTTGGCCATTCCTTCTCTTTTCCTTGTTGGCCTCGTTGCATGCCATACCTTGCCTTATGGCTATTGCTCCCCCCCACCCCCTACCCCCCCCCCCTCCCCCCCCTTTTTTGTTGTTGCGCTGTTTGTGGGCCATGGGCCTCCTCATGCAAGAGAGTGGTTGCGTGCCTTGGTCCTGTTTTCCCAAGGCAGGACTCTCATGTTTTTTTCTCTTCTTCTTCTTCTTCTTCTTCTTCTTTGTCTTTCAACTTAGACTCAATGTGCCATGGCGACGTACAAAGTTCTACGAATGGAATTCCACAAAATCATAGGCTCACGGCCTTCTCTGCCCCTATGGCTACCCTAGTCCACTAGAATCTTAGCCTTAATCTAAGGCTTGCCATGCACCCCCGGTGCAGCCCAGTATGCTCCTTGCATATTGGCAAAAGGCACCGCCCTACCACGCCGCTCACACAACTGGTGCGGGGCCTTGTCCTCCACGCCCGCCCATGGGGCAAGCGTTTGCCATGTGGCCAGGCTGGCCATAGCGGAAACACAGTCCCTTGAAGCACAGCTGCTGGCATGTGAGGGGAGGGGAGCCTTTGAGCTCCATGTCACCATCACGACCACTGAGACGACCGCCGCGGGGATAGGTGGCACACGCGGGCTTGAGGGCAGCCACATCGGCTACTGCAAGCTTGTACGAGCAGGACGTGAGGACGCTCTTGGACTGGTAGAGCTGGAAGTGATCAACGGCCTTGAAACCGGCCTCGTCCACCACAAGAAGCACCTCAAAACACTTATGAATAAGCAATTCGATGTGTTTCAGATTGTTGAGCGTTGCGGTCACGTTGCTGTGCTGCAGCTCGTTGTCAATATGCTGCAAGTGGGCTTGAGTAGTAGTGAAGACTTCGGCTTGGTCACGCACGCCCTTGCGCACGAAGGTAGTTGCTGCGGGCGTGGGACCAAGAAGGGGAAGGGGGGAAGTGGGGGCGAGAATGCGACGTCGAGCAAGGTTGGTAGGAACCTCACTATCTTCATTTTCGGAGTCTTCCTGTTGTCGATGTCCTTGGCGGGCGCGAGGACTGGTGCCGGGGGCTGGTTGTCGGGGGGCGGAAGCTTGGGCGCGCGAGGGAGGCGTTGACATTTCCTCTTTCTTGGCAAAATTGGTCGTAACGGTTATATTGTCGGATGAAGTTCCGATTGTAACAGGCTGCTGCTGGTGTAACAGCGCCAGCAGCTGCTGCACGGTAAACACGGGGGCGGCGGCGACCGGCGTGACCTCGTCAACGGGTGTGTGATCGGTGGGGCCCGCGTGGCCTGCAGCCGTTGCGGCGTGCGCAGGCGCGTGCTTCTTAGGCGGCAGCACGCGCGGTTGTTTGGCAGGTGCGTGTGTTTCTTTGGGAGGGGCGTGAGTGGCGCCAAGGAGGACCTTGACAGCCGAGGGCCCCTCACCTGGATTGTCCTCAGCAGGACGTTTCTGGCGACGGGCGGTTACCCCGGCCGAAGTTCCAGGCTTCGCGGTGTTAATGAGGTAGTAGCCTTGGTCGTCAGGCGATGAGGAGTCGTGTTTGCAGACGCCATCGAAGCGAGGTTGTGCTTCAAAATGTCGGTGAGCAGCGTTGTCGGGGCCTTCCCTCGAGGAAGTGACTGGGTTTTCGCCAGGTTAGACGAGGAGAACTGAAAATAGAACTAGAGGAACTAGAAATGAAGAACATGGGTGAGGCCAAAGGGCCTCATGTCCCTCTTTTGTAGGCAAAAGAGGGTGAGTAGCACTTCGACGCTGCCTTTGCTGCATTGGCCCTTGCTATACTTTCACAATACACATTTTTAGAAAGCCGTACATGCCTTACAAAAAAACATTTGAATAATAATATCTACAGGTAGGTACTGCACAAAAGGACTAGCTGGAGTCACGCTAAGGGTCACATACATCACAAGCATTTGGAAAACAAAAGCGACAATACCGTGGGGGGAAGTGGCAAGCCAGCTCACGACAGGTTGCTAGTCCTTGTCAACATATAATTTGTATATGTTATAGGCTAGCTAGGTGCATGCTCATATAGAGTACAACCCGTTAGGTTATGTTCTCTTGAATCACCTCATTCTAGTCACTTGTCCTATGATAAGATGGTATCAGATTAGGTTGGGTCTGCCCACGCACTTCCGCCCTAGACCCTAGTGCCCTGCTGGCCCCTTAGCGCTCCGCTGGCCCCTTAGAGCCCCGCTTGCCCCTTAGTTCCCCGCTGGCCCGTTCGCCCCGCTGGCCCCATTTGCACCCTGCTGGCCCTGTCGAGCCCTGCTAGCCTCATGCGCCCCACTGGCCCCGTCGAGCCCCGCTAGCCCCATGCGCCCCATTGGCCCCGTATGCCCCGCTGGCCCCGTCGAGCCCCGCTAGCCTTGTGCGCCCCGCTGGCCCCGTATGCCTCGTTGGCCACGTTCGCGCCCCGCTAGCCACGTCAAGCCTCGCAAGCCCCTCTGACCCCGCATGCCCTGCTGGCCCCGTTCGTGTCCCGCTAGCCCTGTGCGCCCCGCTGGCCCCGTATGCCCTGCTGGCCCCGTTCGCGCCCCGCTAGCCACGTGTGCCACGCTAGCCCTAGCTCACCAGCCTCACCTTGCTGACTCTCGCTCATAGGCCCTAGCTCGTCAGCCTCTGCTCGCTTGCCGCCCCTTCCTCTCTGGCCCCCGTTCCTGCCGGCCCCAGCTTCCTGCGGCGCCGCCGTGTTGCTGGGTCGCTGTGCCGCTGTGCCGACGTGCTGCCATAACGCCATGAAGCCGTGTCGTCGTGCCGCCGTGTCGCCGTGCCGCCGTGGCGCCGTGTCGCCGTGCCGCCGTGTCATCGTATCGCAGTGCCGCCGTGGATCCGGACAGCCGTGCCGCGGTGTCGTCGTGCCGCCGTGGTGCCGTGCAGCCTTGTCGCCGTGCCGCCGTGCCGCAGTGTCGCCTTGCCGTCCTGCCGCCATGTAGCCATGTTGCCGTGCCGCCGCGTAGCCGTGCAGTCGGGCCGCCATGCCACTCTGTAGCTGTGCCGCCGTGGTGCCGTATCGCCCTGCCGTCGTGTAGCCGTGTCGCCGTGCCGCCATGTAGCCGTGTCGCCGTGCCGCCGTGCAGCCGTGTCGCCGTGCCGTCATGCCGTTGTGGAGCCGGGCCGCTGGGCCGCTGTATCGCCGTGCCGCCGTGGTACTGTGCCGCCGTGTCGCGGTTCCATCATGCTGCCGAGTAACTGAGGGCGTGCGATGGCGGACGATGTGCTCCGCCTGGCCACGGAGGGGTGGGCGATCAACTTCGATGCGTGGCTTGTTGACCTTCACCGTCACCTGACAGGTCAGCGCCAGGATGGTTACTCCCTGGTGGCTTGCTTCCCCGCCCCCCCAAGCCTGCTGCCCTCCCTAATTCCCCCACCTCTTCTGAGCGTGAGACATTTTCCGCTGCTGCGCTTGCTCACGCTGTCTGGGAGTTGCGCGACGCCGTAGCGCAGCTTGCCATTAGTCACGCCCTCCCCCTGTCTAAGCGTCCGCGCTTTAATGCTATAGTGAACGCCAAGGAATTCTTAGAGACCCTAGTTGCACACTACTCCACGCCTGCCTCCGCCTCCGCTGGTCGCCTGATCCTCCTCATGCTGTTCCCTGATCTTGCGGCCTTCCCTACTGTTGCTGACCTAGCCACTCACCTCCGTGCACTTGAGGCTAGCTACCGCGCCGCTAGCATTGAGACCCAGCTCACTGCCTTCCTCCCCCCACTTGGCGCTACCCTTTACCTTATTGCCACGCTCCTCCCGGGCCGCCTAGCCACTGCCCGCGACCACTTCCTTAGTCAGCACCCAGGTGATCTCACCCTTACCGCCTTTGTCATCGCCCTGTGGGAGATAGAGACCCGCCAGCGCACTAGCACTCAGTCTAGCGGTACTCTGGCTGTCCCTATCTTTCAGGGCTGTGCTCCCGCCCCGTGCACCTACTCTGGCGTCTTTGCTGTTGTCGCTGAGACAGCCCCTGCTGCTGAGACCATTGATGTGCGCTCAGCGCAGCCGCGTCAGGGTAGGCGCCGCCACCCTAGGAGGGGGTGTGGCCAAGGGAAGGGTGGTGGAGGTGGTGGGGGTGGGGGCAGGGACACTGGTTCCGACGAGGGGACCGGGATTGGTGCTCCAGAGCAGCCGCAGCAGTACCAGCCTCAGCAGCAGCAGCAGTGGGGCCACCTCCCGCCAGGGTGGCCCCGCGCCTTTGGTGGTGGTGGCCGCAGTACCAGATCTTGTTTCTTTGTGTTGCCTAGTGTAGGTGTGCCCCCTATGTGTAGTCTAGGTTCCCCTGCTACGTCACACGTAGGACCCCCTACCTTGTTTAGCCTAGGTTCCATGCTAGCCCCTCCACCGGCTACCGCTTCTGCTTCGCTCTCGCTCAGGCTCGACTGTGGTGCGTCTGCCTGCTTCTTTCGCGACCACACTGTGCTCACGCCGCTTGCTGCCCCTGCCGCTGTCGCGATTGCCGACCCCTCCTCAGGTCTAGTAGTTGCCCGTAGCTCCACCACCCTTCCCTGTCTGGCGGTCACCTCGGGCTCTCTAATAGGTCTGCACATCCCCTCGTTCTCTCGGAACCTAGTTGGTGTCGGCTATCTTCAGGACTTCGGCGTTACCACTACATTCCCCGGACACGAGTGGTACGTAATCAGTACCGAGGCCGCCACTGGTGCCCCTCTGACCACGTTACCCCGGGACCCTGTGTCTGGCCTGTTTACGCTTAACACTGTGTCCCCCCTAGTGAGGGCGCCCCCCCAGGTGCCTGCGTCTACCTAGGTTGTTGCGGCTTGCTCGTGTCGGTTGCTCACTCACCCATCGCTACTGTGGCACCACCGCCTATGTCACCCCGCTCTCCCACTGTCACAGGATCGAATGTGTCAAGGAAAGGTTCCACTATCGATCAGTACAAGGCGCTTTTATACTTCCAGAGTACATCAGGTAACCAGGTTTATCTTATCCTAGGGGAATAGACCCTTCTAGAAGATAGAATCACCCTGCGTATAGCCACGCGAGGCTATTGGCTTTAAGGGATTACAGCAGGATTACGCTAGCTAGAGCGCACCAGTACATCCCAAGCCTGGTCGGTAATATAATGATAATAACAGGATAAACCAAAGGTTAATGGAGAAAGGAAGAATAGGAAACCAAATGAGATGGAATAAAAGAGAAAGGAAAAAGGAAGGAAATAAGAAAAGGCCAAGTGGTGTAACGAGGTCGCACTCTCACACTTCCCCCCTCAAAGCTGGGTGGTAGAAGTAACACCCTGCTTGACAAGGTAGTCATGCAGAGGACGACGGGCGTTACCCATGTCGGACTCAGGTACCCAGCTGTCCTCAGAAGGATCATAACCCTTCCAACGGATGAGAAGCTCCACGGTGCCATTCCGACGACGTCGGTGTGCGAGCACGGACTCGACCTCGTACTCGGGTTCATTCTGGACGAGGACGGGCAGTGGCGGCGGCGGTTGGCGTCCAACGAAAACCGTGTTCGGGTCCCGATAGGGCTTCAGAAGTTGGACGTGGAAGGCGTTGTGAATCTTCCAGGTAGTGGGCAGGCGTAAGCGGAAGGTAACAGGAGTGACCTGTGCTTCAACGAGAAAAGGCCCGCAGAAGCGAGGTCGAAGTTTAGATGGGAGATGGCTGATGTCCAGGTTGCGGGTGTCAAGAAGCACCTGGTCCCCTACCGTGATGGTGTGATCGTTGCGATGGCGATCGGCTTGGCGCTTCTGTTGCTGTTGAATGTCGAGTAGGCGCTTGTGGGTCCGATCCCAAAGCTGATGCATGGTTGTGATGAAATCATGTGCGGGTTGGACTGTAGCTGATGCTGTCGGTTTTTGTGGTGTGAGTGGGTGGCGTCCGTAGCAGAGGAAGAACGGCGTCTGTCCAGTAGCGGCATGTGTAGCATTGTTGTAAGCAAACTCTAGTACGGGCAGGTGCAAGTCCCATTTGGAGATCTCGTCCTTGCAGGCTGCTCGGAGGAGTTGCTCAACAATTTGGTTGAGGCGCTCGGTCTGTCCGTCTGTTTGCGGATGGTAAGCGGATGACATGGCGAGTTTGGTCCCGAGGAGAGACATAAGTTCCTTCCAGAACTTGCTGGTAAACTTAGGGTCTCGGTCGGAGATGAGTGTGGTTGGAATGCCATGCTGTGAGATGATGTATCGAACGAAGAGTTGTGCTGTTTCTTCGGTGCGTGCTGTCGTGTGTGTCGGGATGAAGTGTCCCATTTTGGAGAACTTGTCAATGACGACAAGGATGGCGTCATGACTGCTGGAGGTAGGTGGTAACCCGGTGATGAAGTCTAGGCTAACCACTTGCCATGGTTGTTCTGGGACAGGAAGAGGCTGCAGTAGTCCTGCCTTCTTCTGCTTGCTGCTCTTCATCCGCTGACATGTATCACACGAGGTGACGAATTTCTGGACATCTTCTGCTAAGTGGGGCCAGTAGTAGTGCTTTGCGATACCGGTCAGCGTCTTGTTGCTACCAAAGTGTCCGGCGTAGAGGACGTCGTGGTATTCTTCGAGTAGTAACTGGCGCAAAGGAGGGTAATTGGGTACCCAGATTTTCGTTGATCCTTTCCGGTACGCGATGTCACTGTCCCACTGTAGCAGATGTCGCTTTTCTGCCAAGGGAATTTCCGGGTCGATGGCGTACCTGTGTGTTAAGAGTCCCTTGAGTAGTGGATTCATCCCTTCGACCTGAATAGCGGCAACGTGTGCAGGCCGGCTGAGAGCGTCTGCTTTGTTCTTGTGACCTGGCTTGTACACGATGTCGTAGTGGAAGTGTGTCTCGAGGAAGTCGATCCACCGGACCTGCCGCCTGGAAAGTTTGGGTTGTGTCTTCAAGTATTTCAGGCTGCAGTGGTCAGTGTAGACGGTTGTTCTTCGTCCTTCGAGATAGCATCTCCACGCTTTGAAGGCGATGATGATAGCCAGGGCCTCTTTGTCGTGTATCGGGTAGTTTAGTTCTGCCCCGTGTAGTTTCTTACTTAGGTAAGCGATTGGTTGGAGTCCATTCCCTTGATCTTGCATCAAGACTGCTCCCACTGCTTGGTCACTGGCGTCAGCTTCGATGACGTAGTCGCGTTCGGGATCTGGCAAAATGAGTACCGGTGCGGACGTAAGTGCTTGCTTCAGCTGCTCCACGGCTTCCTGGTGCTTCGGCTCCCATTTGTAGGGCGTGTTCTTCTTCAGCAGATTCGTGAGTGGTGCTGCGATTTTCGCATACTGTGGCACGGACCTGTTGTAATAATTAGCGAAGCCTAGGAACTGCTGCAACTCCTTCACTTCTCGGGTGTCTTCCACGTGCGTACGGCCTCGATTTTCTTGGGGTCGACGTGAACTCCTTGAGCGCTCACCATGTGTCCTAGGAACTGGACCTTTTCAAGGGCGAATTCGCTCTTGGACAGTTTGACGTAGAATCGTTCTCGTCGAAGAATTTTGAAGACGCGTCGCAGGTGTTCGACGTGCTGCTTCATGTCGCGCGAGTAGATGAGTATGTCGTCCAGGTACACCACCACGCACTCGTCCAAAAGTGGTCGTAGAATGTGGTTCATTTCGGCTTGGAACGTTGCCGGTGCGTTGGTGAGTCCGAATGGCATTACCAAATACTGGTACGATCCGTACCGAGTTCGGAAAGCAGTTTTGTGGATAGAGTTGTCCGCCATGCGTATTTGCCAGTATCCGGACCGCAGATCCAGTTTGGAAAATACCGTAGCTCCCCGAAGCTGGTCAAGCAGGTCATCGATTCGTGGTATCGGATATTTATTCTTGATGGTCTGCTTGTTAAGAGCTCGGTAGTCGATGCACATGCGCAGGCTTCCGTCCGGTTTCGGTGTGAAGAGTACTGGGGCACCGTATGGCGAAGTGGATGGTCGGATGAGTCCTTTGGCTAGGAGATACTCGATTTGTTTTTTCATGTCAGTCAGCTCCGTAGGGCTGAGCCGATATGGTGCTCGGAAGGTCGGCTTCGAACCCGGTTCCTCCACGATCTCGTGTTGATGCGTTCGGTATGGCGGTAGCTCATTCGGAAGATCGTCCGGAAGGATATCTTGGAACTCCTTCAATAATTCCTTGATCTTTTCTGGAGTTTCCGAGGCTTTCTCTCCGTCATTCTCCACCTCTGTTGCTATCGCCAGGAACCCAGTGTCGGTTTGCTTTACGTCCTTCTCGAATCGTGCGAGTGTCTCCACTGGGATATCTCCTGTATCGTCCCAGTTGGGTAGCTGTACTCTCCGTCCATTGTTGTAGATGCTTGCGGTGCGGTTCACCCAGTTGATCTCGGGGTTGAATCTTTTTAGGAAGTCTCGCCCGAAGATCAAGTCAAGCCCCTTGATGTTGGTGATGGGGAGTGCAGGTCTCCAGCGCAGTGGTCCAATTTGTAGGTGTAGCACTGCTTCGCCGTGTACTGGTAACTTGCTGTCGTCCACCATCGTTGCAGAGAATCCTGAAGGCTTGTACTCTTCCCGAAGTCGGTCGATCACTGCCTTGTCGCAGATGGTGTGTGATGCTCCGCTGTCCACGAGTGCTTGGAGGCGTCGTCCTTTGCACATGACCTCGAGCTCGAGGGGCAGTCGTTGCTCGGAGTACCCAAAGATAGTTTCATTGATTGGGTCATAGGGTACATCCCAGTATTCCGTACACACCTTTGTGTTGCTATCTACTCCTGAGCTGGCAGCTGGCTGAGGCTGCTTGGAGAACGGCTCTTCTCCAGGGCCCGGAGTTCCCCTGACGACTGTGCGCGTCACTGATGCCGAAGAACTGGATGCATCCGTAGGAGGAGTTCGGGGTTTGTGCAGCTTCTTGTAGACCCCCAGCTTCCTCTTGAGCTGCTTTAGCTCCACCGACGTCTTCCCTGGGGAACGGGTAGTCGTTGTGGGCTGGTGTCGGGAGAGGACGTTGACTCCGTGGAAAGGTCGGCTTCTTTCCACACTCCTTAATTTTTTCCCCAAGTTGTCCGGTACCGGTATGATCTCCACAGCTGTCTGCTTCTTTTGGAGTCCCTCCCAAAATTTCTCCAAGGCTCTAGCTCCTCGAAAATCATAAGTTTTCATTAAAGCATCTTTATAAGATAACTTTAATGAATGCTTATAATTTCTTGGGTCTTCAAGGAGTTTCCCCGTCTCGGCAGAGTCTTTTTCGCGGAGTCGTATTTTTCCTCGGCGATTTTCCCTGGCGAAGACTGGTTGTGGGGTGGAGATTTTCCCCCATCATTTCCTCCTTCTCGCGTCGAATCAGCTTCGTCGAAGTTGATTTTTCCGGAATCCCGTGGCCGCTTTCGGATCTTTTTATTTTCGCCAGCTAGATCCGCAATCACTGGCGACTACCGTTTTTTGGCTTCTGATTGGCTGAAGGAATTCCGCCACTGTTGCGTGCCCGATACTCTGCGCGTGCAGCTTTCATTTTGCTGCAGTCGAAGATTCGATGACCCGGCACCCCGCAAAAATCACACGTGTAATTGGTGTTTTTCGGACGTGGCCGCCCCTCAAATCTGTCAACTTCCATCGGGTCGGCGAACGTGGTTTGAGCCGAGCGGTCGCCCTGTCGCGTACTGCCGATGTGCGTCCGTCGTGTTCCGGCGTTGACCATGTCGAAGCGCTCCGCTGCCGAAACGACGTCACTGTAGCTCGCGTAGTTTGACGCTGCGACTTGTCGTTTGACTTCGGTCTTCAGCCCGGCGAGGTACGATTGTACTTTTTCCCCTTCGGTCAGGTCGGGAATGCGGTTATAAAATTCCTCCATCTGCTGCGTGTACTGCGCTACACTCCCGAACTGTCGGTGTCGATGATTTTTTTCCCGGGCAAGGAAACTGGAATTTATCAACTCGAAGCGTTTCAGCAGGTCAGCGCGGAACTGCTGCCACGTGGCTTCACCGTGGATGAAAGTACTGTTGCCGCCAATCCACTCGAGTGCCGGCCCTCGCATCAGTGTCGCCACGAGTCGTACACGTTGACCGTCCCAGACTGGCGAGCTCCATCCGACGGCTGCGAAGTAGATCTCCATCCCGGCGATCCATCTGCGGGCGTCGGAGTTTCGATCGCTCGGATCGAATGGCTCAGGTGGGTGCAGTTTCGGAGCCTCGAGAAACTGCTGCAACTGCTGCGTCATCGCCGTTGTCGTCTCGTGCTGCGCTCCGGCGAGTCGAGTTACTCGCTCGAACTCGTTTCGCCATGCTTCGCAATCCGCTCGCATTTCCTCCTGAAGGGCTGCGATGCGCGCGAAGAGCTGCTGGGTAACCTCGGTGTTGTCGAAGGTTGCCATCCTGTTCAAAACACGCACGGAGGGGGTAATTCGAAAATCGCGGAGCTGGTGCTTACCAGAATCGGCGTCGAATTGGTCGCCCCCGGCGGTTTTTCGAGGCAGGATCCCCGCTGCTGCTGCTTAGCTGAGCGCGGTCGAGTGAGAAAAGCTCTGATTACCAAGTGTCACAGGATCGAATGTGTCGAGGAAAGGTTCCACTATCGATCAATACAAGGCGCTTTTATACTTCCAGAGTACATCAGGTAACCAGGTTTATCTTATCCTAGGGGAATAGACCCTTCTAGAAGATAGAATCACCCTGCGTATAGCCACGCGAGGCTATTGGCTTTAAGGGATTACAGCAGGATTACGCTAGATAGAGCGCACCAGTACATCCCAAGCCTAGTCGGTGATATAATGATAATAGCAGGATAAACCAAAGGTTAATGGAGAAAGGAAGAATAGGAAACCAAATGAGATGGAATAAAAGAGAAAGGAAAAAGGAAGGAAATAAGAAAAGGCCAAGTGGTGTAACGAGGTCGTACTCTCACACCCACGTTGGCGTCACATGTCCCAGCACGGCCTTGTCTTTCCTGTTCAGCGTTCTCACCCTATGTTGCTTCGTTCCCATGCGTCTCGTCCTCCCCTCCTCCCCTCGCCTCCTCCATCATCGCTTGTTGTCGCTCTGCCTCCTCTGTCTGACTACCTTCGTGCCACTAGTCCCCTTGTTCCTAGGGTCCTTGCCTCCCTCGTTACCGACCCGTCTGTTCCTGTTTCCAGTTTTGACGCTCTTGTCGCTGACTTCGCCTCTTCGGGCAGCCTTGACTACCCCCACCACTTTGTTTTTTTACCCTGCCCACCCTGCGTCCGTCGGGGGTGCTCCTGCCCTTGGCAGAGACGTCATGGGGTACCGGCAGCACGAGCTTGCTTTCTTGTCCGAGGCCACACCTCATCTCTGCTCCATGCTGCAAGTCCCTGAGGGGGACCCAGATACCTTCGACATCCCGACCCCGTGCACCTACGCTGAGGCAACCTCGGGACCCTCGGTGTCACAGGTTCGAATGTGTCGAGGAAAGGTTGCACTATCGATCAGTACAAGGCGCTTTTATACTTCCAGAGTACATCAGGTAACCAGGTTTATCTTATCCTAAGGGAATAGACCCTTCTAGAAGATAGAATCACCCTGCGTATAGCCACGCGAGGCTATTGGCTTTAAGGGATTACAGCAGGATTGCGCTAGATAGAGCGCACCAGTACATCCCAAGCCTGGTCGGTGATATAATTATAATAGCAGGATAAACAAAAGGTTAATGGAAAAGGAAGAATAGGAAACCAAATGAGATGAGATAAAAGAGAAATGAAAAAGGAAGGAAATAAGAAAAGGCCAAGTGGTGTAACGGGGTAGTACTCTCACACTTCCCCCCCTCAAAGCTGGGTGGTAGAAGTAACACCCTGCTTGACAAGGTAGTCATGCAGAGGACGACGGGCGTTACCCATGTCGGTTTCAGAGACCCAGCTGTCCTCAGAAGGATCATAGCCCTTCCAACGAATAAGAAGCTCCACGGTGCCATTCCGACGTCGACGATGTGCAAGCACGGACTCGACCTCGTACTCGGGTTCGTTCTGGACGAGGACGGGCGGCGGCGGCGGCGGCTGGCGTCCCACGAAGATCGTGTTAGGATCCCGATAGGGCTTCAGAAGTTGCACATGGAAGGCGTTGTGAATCTTCCAGGTAGCTGGCAGGCGTAAGCGGAAGGTAACAGGGGTAACTTGTGCTTCAACGAGGAAAGGTCCGCAGAAGCGAGGTCGAAGTTTAGATGGGAGATGGCTGATGTCCAGGTTGCGGGTGTCGAGGAGCACCTGGTCTCCCACGGAAATGGTGTGGTCGTTGCGATGGCGATCGGCCTGGCGCTTCTGTTGCTGTTGAATGTCAAGGAGGCGCTTATGGGTCCGATCCCAAAGCTGATGCATGGTTGTGATGAAATCATGTGCTGGTTGGACTGTAGCTGATGCTCTCGGTTTCTGTGGTGTGAGTGGGTGGCGTCCGTAGCAGAGGAAGAACGGCGTCTGTCCAGTAGCGGCATGCGTAGCATTGTTGTAAGCAAACTCTAGTACGGGCAGGTGCAAGTCCCATTTGGAGATGTCGTCCTTGCAGGCTGCTCGGAGGAGTTGCTCAACAATTTGGTTGAGGCGCTCGGTCTGTCCGTCTGTCTGCGGATGGTATGCAGCTGACATGGCGAGTTTGGTCCCGAGAAGAGACATAAGTTCCTTCCAGAACTTGCTGGTGAACTTGGGGTCTCGGTCGGAAATGAGTGTAGTTGGAATGCCATGCTGTGAGATGATGTAGCGAACGAAGAGTTGTGCTGTCTCCTCGGTGCGTGCCGTCGTGTGTGTCGGGATGAAGTGTCCCATCTTAGAGAATTTGTCGATGACGACAAGAATTGCGTCATGACCGCTAGTGGTAGGTGGTAACCCAGTGATGAAGTCGAGGCTGACCATTTGCCATGGCTGTTCTGGGACAGGAAGAGGCTGTAGCAGTCCTGCTTTCTTCTGCTTACTGCTCTTCATCCGTTGACACGTATCACACGAGGTGACGAATTTCTGAACATCATCTGCCAAGTGAGGCCAGTAGTAGTGTTTTGCGATATCAGTCAGCGTCTTGTTGCTACCGAAGTGTCCGGCGTATAGAACGTCGTGGTATTCTTCGAGTAGTAACTGGCGCAAAGGAGGGTAATTGGGTACCCAGATTTTCGTTGATCCTTTCCGGTACGCAATGTCGTTGCCCCACTGTAGTAGATGTCTTTTTTCTGCCAAGGGAATTTCGGGGTCGATGGTATACCCGTGTGTGAAGAGTCCCTTGAGTAGTGGATTCATCCCTTCGGCCTGAACAGCGGCAACGTGTGCAGGCCGGCTGAGGGCGTCTGCTTTGTTTTTGTGGCCGGGCTTGTACACGATGTCGTAGTGGAAGTGTGTCTCGAGGAAGTGAATCCACCGGACCTGCCGCCTGGAAAGGGTTGGTTGTGTCTTCAGATATTTCAGACTGCAGTGGTCGGTGTAGACTGTTGTTTGACGTCCTTCGAGATAACATCTCCATGCTTTGAAGGCGATGAAAATAGCAAGAGCCTCTTTGTCGTGTATCAGGTAGTTGAGTTCTGCCCCGTGCAGTTTCTTGCTGAGGTAGGCAATTGGTTGCAGTCCATTCCCCTGGTCTTGCATCAAGACTGCTCCCACGGCCTGATCACTGGCGTCTGCTTCAATGACGTAGTCACGTTCGGGATCTGGCAAGATGAGCACCGGTGCGGATGTCAGTGCTTGTTTCAGCTGCTCCACGGCTTCCTGGTGCTTCGTCTCCCATTTGTAGGGCGTGTTCTTCTTCAGCAGATTCGTGAGTGGTGCCGCGAGTTTCGCATACTGTGGCACGAACCTGTTGTAGTAATTGGCGAAGCCTAGGAACTGCTGCAACTCCTCGGGTGTCTTCCACGTACGTACGGCATCGATTTTCTTGGGGTCGACGTGAACTCCTTGAGCGCTCACCATGTGTCCTAGAAATTGGACCTTCTCCAGGGCGAATTCGCTCTTGGACAGTTTGACGTAGAAACGTTCTTGTCGAAGAATTTCGAAAACGCGTCGCAGGTGTTCGACGTGCTGCTTCATGTCGCGCGAGTAGATGAGGATGTCGTCCAGGTACACCACCACGCATTCATCCAAGAGTGGGCGTAGGATGTGGTTCATTTCTGCTTGGAACGTCGCTGGTGCATTGGTGAGTCCGAACGGCATGACCAAATACTCGTACGATCCGTACCGAGTTCGGAAAGCAGTTTTGTAGATAGAGTTGTCCGCCATCCGTATCTGCCAGTATCCGGACCGCAGATCCAGTTTGGAAAATACCGTAGCTCCCCGAAGCTGGTCAAGCAGGTCATCGATTCGTGGTATCGGATATTTATTCTTGATGGTCTGCTTGTTAAGAGCTCGGTAATCGATGCACATGCGCAGGCTTCCGTCTGGTTTCGGTGTGAAGAGTACTGGGGCACCGTACGGCGAAGTGGATGGTCGGATGAGTCCTTTGGCTAGGAGATACTCGATTTGTTTTTTCATGTCAGTCAGCTCCGTAGGGCTGAGCCGGTATGGTGCTCGGAAGGTCGGCTTCGAACCCGGTTCCTCCACGATCTCGTGTTGATGCGTTCGGTATGGCGGTAGCTCGTTCGGAAGATCGTCAGGAAGAATGTCTTGGAACTCCTTCAGTAATTCCTTGATTTTTTCTGGAGTTTCCGAGGCTTTCTCTCCGTCATTCTCCACCTCTGTTGCTATCGCCAAGAACCCGGTTTCGGTCCGCTTCACGTCCTTCTCGAATCGTGCGAGTGTCTCCACTGGGATATCTCCTGTATCGTCCCAGTTGGGTAGCTGTACTCTCCGTCCATTGTTGTAGATGCTTGCGGTGCGGTTCACCCAGTTGATCTCGGGGTTGAATCTTTTCAGGAAGTCTCGCCCGAAGATCAAGTCAAGCCCCTTGATGTTGGTGATGGGGAGTGCAGGTCTCCAGCGCAGTGGTCCGATTTGTAGGTGTAGCACTGCTTCGCCGTGTACTGGTAACTTGCTGCCGTCCACCATCGTTGCAGAGAATCCTGAAGGCTTGTACTCTTCCCGAAGTCGGTCGATCACTGCCTTGTCGCAGACGGTGTGTGATGCTCCGCTGTCCACGAGTGCTTGGAGGCGTCGTCCTTTGCAGATGACCTCGAGCACGAGAGGCGGGCGTTGCTCGAAGTACCCAAAGATAGTTTATTTAATGGGGTCATAGGGTACATCCCAATAATCCGTACACACTTTTTCGTTGCTATCTGCTCCTGAGCTAGCAGCGAGCCGAGGCTGCTTGGAGAACGGCTCTTCTCCAGGGCCCGGAGTTTCCCTGACGACTGTGCGCGTCACTGATGCCGAAGAACTGGATGCATCCGTAGGAGGAGTTCGGGGTTTGTGCAGCTTCTTGTAGACCCCCAGCTTCCTTTTAAGCTGCTTCAGCTCCACTGACGTCTTCCCTGGGAAACGGGTAGTCGATGTGGGCTGGTGTCGGGAGAGGACGTTGACTCTGTGGAAAGGTCGGCTTCTTTCCACACTCCTTAATTTTTTCCCCATGTTGTCCGGTACCGGTATGATCTCCACAGCTTTCTGCTTCTTTTGGAGTCCCTCCCGTATTTTCTCCAAGGCTCTAGCCCCTCGAAAATCATAAGTTTTCATTAAAGCATCTTTATATGATAGCTTTAACGAATTCTTATAATTTCTTGGGTCTTCAAGGAGTTTCCCCGTTTCGGCAGAGTCTTTTTTCGCGGAGTCTGATTTTTCCTCGGCGATTTCCTCTGGCGAAGACTGGTCGTGGGGTGGAGATTTTCCCCCATCATTTCCTCCTGCTCGCGTCGAATCAGCTTCGTCGAAGTTGATTTTCCCGGAATCCCGCGGCCGTTTCCGGATCTTTTCTTTTTCGCCAGCTAGATCCGCAATCACTGGCGACTCCCGTTTTTTGTCTTCTGATTGGCCGAAAGATTTCCGCCACTGTTGCGTGCCCGATACTCTGTGCGTGCGGCCTTCATTTTGTTGCAGTCGAAGATTCGGTGGCCCGGCACCCCGCAAAAATCACACGTGTAGTTGGTTTTTTTCGGACGTGGCCGCCCGTCGAATTTGTCGATCTCCATCGGGTCGGCGAACGTGGTGTGAGCCGAGCGGTCGCCTTGTCGCGTACTGCCGACGTGCGTCCGTCGTGTTCCGGCGTTGACCATGTCGAAGCGCTCCGCGGCCGAAACGACGTCACTGTAGCTCGCGTAGTTTGACGCTGCCACTTGTCGTTTGACTTCGGTCTTCAGCCCTGCGAGGTACGATTGCACTTTTTCCCCTTCGGTCAGGTCGGGAATTCGGTTATAAAATTCTTCCATCTGCTGCGTGTACTGTGCTACACTCCCGAACTGTCGATGGCGATGAATTTTTTCGTGGGCAAGGAAACCTGAATTTATCGGCTCGAATCGTTTGAGCAGGTCAGCGCGGAACTGCTGCCACGTGGCTTCACCGTGGATGAAGGTGCTGTTGCCGCCAATCCACTCGAGTGCCGGCCCTCGCATCAGTGTCGCCGCGAGTCGTACGCGTTGACCGTCCCAGACTGGCGAGCTCCATCCGACGGCTGCGAAGTAGATCTCCATCCCGGCGATCCATCTGCGGGCGTCGGAGTTTCGATCGCTCGGATCGAACGGCTCAGGTGGGCGCGGTTTCGGAGCCTCGAGAAACTGCTGCGACTGCTGCGTCGTCGCCGTTGTCGAGTCGTGCTGCGCTCCGGCGAGTCGAGTTACTCGCTCGAACTCGTTTCGCCACGCTTCGCGATCTGCTCGCAGCTCCTCCTGAAGAGCGGCGATGCGCGCGAAGAGTTGCTGGGTAACCTCGGCGTTGTCGAAGGTTGCCATCCTGTTCAAAACACGCGTGGGAGGGGGAATTCACAAAACGCGGAGCTGGTGCTTACCAGAATCGGCGTCGAATTCGTCGCCCCCGGCGGTTTTCCGAGGCAGGTTTTCCCGCTGCTGCTGCTTTGTTGAGCGCGGCCGAGTGAGACAAGCTCTGATTACCAAGTGTCACAGGATCGAATGTGTCGAGGAAAGGTTGCACTATCGATGAGTACAAGGCGCTTTTATACTTCCAGAGTACATCAGGTAACCAGGTTTATCTTATCCTAAGGGAATAGACCCTTCTAGAAGATAGAATCACCCTGCGTATAGCCACGCGAGGCTATTGGCTTTAAGGGATTACAGCAGGATTACGCTAGATAGAGCGCACCAGTACATCCCAAGCCTGGTCGGTGATATAATTATAATAGCAGGATAAACCAAAGGTTAATGGAAAAGGAAGAATAGGAAACCAAATGAGATGAGATAAAAGAGAAATGAAAAAGGAAGGAAATAAGAAAAGGCCAAGTGGTGTAACGGGGTCGTACTCTCACACTCGGCCTCTCATTGGATAGCTGCCATGGACACGGAGATGGCATCTTGGAGATCCACCGGCACCTATGTCGACGCAGTTCCCCCACCTAGGGTGAACGTAGTCGATGGCCGATGGCTCTACAAGGTGAAGCGCCCTCCTGGAGAGCCGCCTGTCTTCAAGGCGCGCTACGTTGCTAGACGCTTCAGTCAGCGCGAGGGTGTTGACTTCTTCCAGACCTTCGTCTCGACCCCGAAGATGACTACTCTTTGAGCGGTGCTACACGTAGCAGCACAGCGTAACTACAAGTTACACTCTCTCTCGACTTTTCGATATCGTTTCTCCAAGGCAGTCTGCACGAGCAGGTCTACCTGCGTCGCTCGCCTAGGTTTACCGGCACCTTTGCTCGGGGGACCCAGTGGCTCCTCTGGCGCCCGGTTTATGGCCGCGCGAGTGCCAGGACATGCTTCGTGCTACGTTAGCTGACCTATTGTTCTTCCCGTCCTCTTCAGACCCCTCGCTCTTCGTTCGTTCTGGCCAGACCCCATTCTATATCCTTGTCTACATAAACGATCTCGTCTTTGCAACTGCAGACAGAGATGCACTGGCCTCCGCGAAGGCTGAGCTGCTAAGGCGACACACCTGCACTGACTTAGGAGAGATGCGCTGCTACCTTGGCCTGCAGATCTCCAGGGACAGAGCAGCGCGCACCATCAATCTCACACAGCCACACTTGGTGCGCCATCTCGTGGAGGTCCACTTGCTCGTCGTCTATTGCGCAGTCTAGCTGGGAAGCTGAGATTTACGCTGGTGCCATGGCGACACAGGAGCTTCGCTAGCTGACTTTCTTGCTCACAGACTTAGGTGAGCAGCCTAGCTCTGCAAAGGTCCTATGCGCTGACAACAGGGCCATGATCCTCCTGTGTCAGGAGCCTCGACTAGAGGGCAGAGCGAAGCACATCTAGTTGCGGTACTTCCTCATGCGCGAGCTACAGCAGCGCGTAGTACGCTTGACCTCCGGTGCCAACACAGCTGATATCTTTACGAAGGCGCTTGCGTCTGAAGATCATCAGTGACACTGTTTACAGCTTGGTCTAGTTCCTGTAGCTTCTCACTTGTCAGGACCCTTACTATGTACTACTCCTTATAGTATCTTTACAGACCCTGTGGCTCTTGTTCCAATGGCTGGAATAGTAGTGCCATCCTGGATTGCTCTTGTTTGTTTTGTAATCTTGCTGTCTGGTCTTCGGACCCTTGCCTCAGGGGTTGGCCTAGTAGTGCCACCCTGAGTTGCGTGTCTCGTACTAGTCGCTGCCCCTTGTCTAGCCTAGGGGGTGTGTCAACGTATAATTTGTATATGTTATAGGCTAGCTAGGTGCATGCTCATATGGAGTACAACCCCTTAGGTTGTATTCCTTTGTACCACCTCATTCTAGTCACTTTTTCTATGCTGAGAGTCCTCTCGGTAGGGCGAGTATGAATCTAACAAGTCTACCACAATCACAACAATCTGGAGCTGAGTTCTAAAAGGAGAAGAGAAAGCAGAAGGGAGCACAGAACAAAGAGGTACGCATCACACACACGCTGCTGCTAACCAAGCCTTCACCTGCGCATTGCCCTTTGCCCTTGACGGAGGAGTGCTTCTAACAACTTATTAGAATATGTTGTTATATCATAGCTAGGTAAGTTTTTAGTCAATTTTTTCAGGATGTAGATTGTTTTTTTGGTAGAAGGTAAAGAATATGGAAGGGGGGAGGGCCGGATCAAGAGGATGCACGGGCTTGGGGGGCAGCTTCTGAGTGCCCGCAGCAGTTTGGCAATACCAGGGGAGGAGCTTGGAGCACGTTTGGCACGATGTCTTGCAACCAATGCAATAGATCATCATGTCTTACTGTAGAGCAAGGGCAAGCGTTTCCCAACCTCGTTGTGGGATAGGATACGGTAGTACTATACATTTGTTGTTTAATAAAAAGCGACCCAAGCCTACACAGCACACAGACCCCACCTTACTAGCGTTGGTGAGCAACAAGCAATAACAAATTAATGACCTCGTGTCCTAGACTACACTACACCAGACAAAGAGACTAGAAACCCTCCAGGCTTCACACACTGTAAGCAAGGGCGTGTCCCATTGGCTGACTTCCATATGCAGTTCAACTTGCAAGCCTTAAGCCGTCATACATTGTAAGGAGGGACGTTGTCCTTTGCTGCCTGTGCTGTGGGCGCTGCCGCTTCCAAGCTAGCCTTGAGGACCGCACGCTTGAACAGACGGACGTTGTAGTACCAGTAGAGTGCGATGTAGGTGAAGGACGCCAAATACGCCATGGCAGACGCTCCCCGAACTTTTCCGAGTTCCGTTTCAGGGTCGTAGTAGCCGAGTCCATATGGATAATTTATCGCATTAGTAATCGCCACGCTGCATAAAGGGGAAGGACAAAGGCAAATGCAGGCTTGGAAAAATCATGCAGAGCAAGATTCCTGTGCGTCAGTATGTCCCTACTCTCCCTTAATCGTTCCTGACTCACTGAAACGACCCGTGTGCTACATAAGTTAATCCTAGGGGCAACAATTTGGAAGTCGAGATGTTACTGACCATATAACAAAACTGGAACATACCTTGTCCCTCCGGTGGTGGCCCACCACAAGCTACACGCAGCTGCGGATGACGTGGCGGCTGCGAAGAGCAAAATTGACATTATCTGTACAGTAACGGCGGGAAGTAGGTACGGAAAGAATGAGACATAGGGGTATAAATAACATATACTAGAGAAAGAAACTGGAAAATAGCCTACAAATCCCTCCATGAGATTTGTAAAGCTTTGACGCGCCTCAAATCATCCGGCAAAAGATGAAGACAACAAAAAATCACGATGGAATCGAATATATTCTACTTACATAGGTCTCAAAGAGCTGGATGAGGTCCATTATGGCGTCGTAGACCTCCGAGCCCGCGACAAAGATGCGCGCGACGTTGTAGATGATGAACAGTACGGCGAATATGAACCCGAGGATCGCCATTGCCACTAGGTACGCTCCCGCGCCGTACGCCGTCACGGTCACTGATCCCTTGACGGCAAAGCACAGGCTGCGATTGTATGGAGTGGAAGAACGGAAGAAGACATGGAGTCAGGAGGAGAGATGGTGAGACTACGGGAAGAATAAAGGACATGCTAGCTTTTGAGTCGAATCAAAAGAAGAAAAAAGGACGTGCTTAATTTTAATGGAAAGGAAGGCGAGCCGCGGCGGCGCACCTGAACGCAATGAGGCACCACAGGAAGATTCCGATGCGAAGGCTGAGAGGGAGCCACGTGTACAGCGCGGAGCGCTTGTTGTTCGCGCAGCACCCGTCAGGGGCGCTCGCGGGCGTTGGCGCTGCCGATGCCGCGGCGTACGGGGGCGGCGGAGCGACGTACGCTCCCGCTGGTGCCATGTTCTGCATGTTCGGAGCTTGCTGCTGCGCCATTTCAACTTGAAGTCGCTGCCTTTTTCAAGAAGTTGTCTAATCGAGGACGGACGAAATCGACAGTGATCTTGAGGAGTTTCTTATACGAGAGGTGAACGGCGAGAGATGTGAAGGTTCTGCGTGAAGAGACGCACTACCCGTAGAGCTACAAAGTTCTTGAAAGAGAAGATTCGATGAGTGATGGGAGCTGGAGCCGAGGGTGCAAGAAATACGGCGAGTGAACAAGCGAGATTGGAGTTGTGAGAAGGGATGGAAAGGCGGGAAATTATATGTTGAATTGTTGGCAGTGGGTGGGGAGGGGGGACAATGGATTGGGAGGGAAGGGGAACGAGTGCGCGTCGCAGGCAGCAGCGGGACTTGGTGTTGCAGCATCAAGAGCTGACGTGACGCGCCAGTGTGGTGTGAGCCCCTGCACAGGGGGGATTTCTCATGTTTCCCTTTTCCTCGTGGCGTGGCCCAGCTAGCCAGGTCAACAGCGTTGCACCAATCGGATTGGCCATTACACCATAATTACTGTCAATTTCCCATTAGGTCAACGGCGTTTCGGCAAGACAGTGCCTCGCTGGCGGGAATCCACGTTGCTGTTCCCTGGTGGTGACAACGAGCATGTGCTTTTGGAAGCTTGCTGAGACCAGGTCAGACGGAAATGAAAAGCTGGGACCCGAACATGCCCTCAGATTCGTTTTAGGCCACGCTGATCAGTCAGTATCGATCTAAAAAACACCCTGAAAATCAGTTTTTGGTAGTGGTTTTCTTACTGGTTGGCCCTGGTTCTTTCGTTTTCAAGGCTGATTCATCACGGTCGGTACTAGATAACAACCTGAAAAATAGCAAAATCAGTGTAAAAAGCCTGATAACTAGGGGCCTGGACCCAAATACTGCATCGCAACCTAAACAAGCAAGGGATTTTTGGAAGCACACTTCTTAATGCCCACATGAATCCCATAACGAAACCATGTAAAGCTATTGTTGGGCTGAGAAATGCCCTTAGGATCTTTCCAGAGACTAAGTCCCAGTTGTAAAAGACTTGAGTAGTGCAGCGGAAGTTGAGGTAGTTGAACCCTTGTACTAGTATATGAGAACAAGTGATTGATTAAAATAACAAGCATACAGCAATATATAGAAAGTGGGAATGTAAAGCAGTTGTAGAATACAGTTGAAAGGGCAGTTTATCGAGTCGCACAGAGACTCGATTGTCGCTTCAGTTACCATCTTTGCAGTTGTAACTGTCAGTCGCAACCTCCAGTTGCGACCCTTCGAGTCCTTTCGTGTTGTTTGTCCATCCCCTCGTGTAACCTACGTTGACTCGCGTACCCGTTACGACCTTCCTCGAGTGTAGTGTTACACTTCAGAAATGCTTAAGTCCTTGAGGTATTTCCAACACTCCCCTTCGTTTCTGGAGTGCTGACGTGTTCAAATCCGGTGACGTTTGTCTGCCCGGTCAGCAGCATGCAGTAATCAAACTTTGCCTTCGCCAGTTTCTTCGTCAGGTAGTCTGCGGCCATTTCTGTCGTAGGGCAGTAACTGAGTTGAAGTCTCCCCTTCGCGATTTCATCTTTGACGAAAAAGTACCTCAGGGCAATGTGCTTTGTTCGGTTGGCGAAGCCGTCCTTGTTCGCGATTTTGATCGCAGATTGGTTGTCGCAGAGGAGTGAGAAGACGGGCAGGGTCGCAATCTTTGCTTCCTCGAGCAACTCTCGCAGGTAGAGTCCTTCCTTGGTCGCAGTACAGAGGGCGATATATTCTGCTTCAGCCGAAGATAGTGCGATTAGCTCCTGCTCGCTCGACTGCCAAGAGATAGTCCCGATAGGTTCTAGTCGGTAGATGTAGCCCGTTCTCGATCGTCGATTTTCCCTGTCCCCCGCGTGATCGGCGTCGACGTATCCGAGTAGTTGTACGGATGGTGTTGTTACTTTGCTGTAGGTAAGTCCGGTCGTCGGCGTAGAGACGAAGTAGAGTAGTGCCCGGTTTAGTTCTTCGAGATCTTCTTGTTCCGGCTGCTTCAGATGCGTCGCCAGCTGGCTTGCGCTGTAGGATAGGTCAGGTCGGCACGTTACTACTGCGAATAGTAGGCAACCGAGCTTCTGCTGATACTCCCGGATTTGCTTCGCGGGGAGTTTTTCGGAGGTGTCGTTGTTGTTCCCGTAGCGGTAGGGAGTCGCGACTGTAGTTGGTGTTAGTCCGAACTTCTTTGCGACAACGCCTGCGTACTTTCCAGCGTATAGGTAGAACGCCGAGTTGTCTTCGACGACATTCAGACCCAGGTTCGGGGTCACTGTGTCGGACACCGTGAGTGTCAAGTCCCCTTTCAGCTCCCCTTCGAACCAGGTGGCGATTTCGGTAGTGGAAACGATGAGTAGGATATACTCTCTTCCCTTCTGCAGTCGGTACATGCCTTGGTCATGCGGCAGCTGTAGGAATCCGATTCTGACGAGGCGACCGTGAAGATGTTGCTGCTAGAGCCGCGGGGCTTGTTTGATCCCGTAAAGGGATTTTATCAGCTGGCATACTTTTGTGGGGTCGTCGATGAATCCGTGGGGCTGCTCGACGAAGATTTCGGCGTCCACAGGTGCGTACAGGAAGGCATTTGCGACGTCGATTTGGCGCAGTGGTAGTTTCTTTGTGGCCGCGACGGCGAGTAGGATGCGCAAGGAGGTGTGACGAGAGACTGGGGCGAATGTTTCTGTGTAGTCGGTTCCGTATCGTTGATCAAATCCTCATACGACCCAGCGAGCCTTGAATCGTTCGATGGAGCCGTCCGCATTGGTCTTGATGCGGTACACCCATTTTCCCGAGAGAACGTTCTTCCCGTTGACGTTCGTTGCAGGTACCAGCTTCCATGTGTTTCGGTCTTGCAGAGCTTTCAGTTCCTTTTCCATTGCCTCCTTCCATTTCGCCTTATGTTCCCCCCCCAGAGCCTGCGACAGAGTCGTTGGCTCGCGCGGAGATGGCGGCGGCGGGTGCTGGATGGAGACCCATAAGCCGAGGATTTGCAGTCCCGTGGGTGTGTGTCGAGGGGAATTTTCATTCCCGGAATAGGCTGCTTCGTCACCATCTTCTGGATCAGGTGAGAAGTTGGGGCCGATGCGTTCTGAGATATTCGTGTCGACCAGGAGAGGTGTAGCGTAACTTTGGTCAGCGAAGTGGTAGAGGGTGTCGAGGTTGTTGCTATCGAGAGGATTGTCTTCGTCGAGTGGAACAGGTACGGAACAGAAAGGGAGTGGTCCGGCAGCTTCCGAGGCTCCAGGTACGTCTTCTTCTGCTGCGTCAGCCTCGGCAGCACGGTCGGCGAAGGAACGAAGGCCCGCGAGGCCGTCGGTGGGGTCGTGTGTGTTGGCAATGTTGTCCAGGTAATGCTGCAGCGTCAGTCGCTCGTAGAAGATAACATCACGTGATGCCACCGTATTTTTGTCTTGAATGTCGAGGATTTTCCATGCGTGAAAATGTTTGGCGATGCCGAGGTGTAGTCCCCATCGTGCTCGTTGAGTGAAGCGTCCTGCTCGGGCTGTGTGGGGTCTGTACTGTACCATGCAGCCGAAAACTCGAAGTAATTTTGTGTTGCCCCTTTTTCGTGTCCACAGCAGGTTGCGGTGATGCGTTGTTGGGAAGCGATGACGATGACAACAGATTGTGCAGTTGGACTGCATGTGTCATCGCGTCTGGCCACAGTGTGTTGGGCAGTCTCATCCCCAGGAGCAGCTTTCGCATCGTCGTCTGCAAGGTCCGGTTCATTCGTTCTGCAACCCCCTGCTGCTGGTGAGCGTAGGGCAGGGACAACCAAGCGTCTGATTCTTTCCGCCAAGTAGGTCCTGAAGCGTTGTGACTGGTATTCCAGTGCGCCGTCTGAC